GTCATGTTCCGGCGCAGGATGCCCGACTGCTGTGGCTACCGGGAAAACAACAAACAAAGTTATAATAAATCTGAGCCTACTGAGGCGACGATCCAACAGACGACTGTACTTTTTGCAATTTACGTCCTAAAGCGAAAACCCCTTCGTGTAAAGAAGGGTTATCAAACGATCTGCGCGCCTTTATCCACCACCGACTCCTCTCCTGCCTGGCGTACAGTAGCCGCGCCAAGTGCCATCACGACGAAAACGAAAAGGAGGAGAAATGATAGCCAGCGTCGTCGAGCGATATGGATCGGTGTCCGCATCAAAAAGAGAGACTCTGAATGTAAAGATGACAGAAAGCTGAAAGTTTAGAAAGCAAAAGTGGGTGTTTGGTGTAGCTTCAGTTTATCAAAGAGGGAGTGAGGCTGGATCGTGTCTCCTGTGGTGAGCGCAGGTTCATCTGACGTCGTGTTCAGCACCGAGGTCAGCGACGGCAGCTTCGCGTCCACATCTGGCCAGCTGCTCGGCACTAGAGCTGGCCAGAGTCAAGATATAACATAATGTAGCCTTTATACGCCAAATCGGCTGATTCCTATTAGTAATTTGAGGGTGGGAGGAGGAAATGTTTCATAGGTCAATCCGTCGCTTTATTTTTAGCCTTAATGGTGTGAGATATTATAGCTTTCAATTCGTTTCGGTTCTATATTTTTATTTTTTCGTTTTTGTGCTTAAAATGCATTTAAAAACAACACGGACAGTAAGTCCATACAGAAAAGCTGCAGGTCTCCTGAGGGCGGTGCTATGGAAACCAAATGAGCAGGAGTGGATTCCCCCCCAACAAGCTCCTCTTCCCATCAATAATTTAAATATCTCCCATACTTTCAGCCCCTCTGACAACCACATCTTCTCACAGAAGCCCAATATATTATGGAAACGTTTCAAAAAATTTCTCATCCGATAGCTGTCCTCGTGCAGAACAAATACCAATAATACTAATGAAAACAATAACAATAATAGCAATAATAACAATATTTAGTCATAATAATATACTTTAAAGATATGGCTCTAGATGTGGAATAGGGGGATGTGGAAAAGGGATGCGCGAGTTTTATTTGTGGTCTTTGACCGCCACCTCGTGGCCATTTCTGGCACTGCAACTTGCTAAAATGAAAATGTAGGTATTAAAAATATATTTTTTTTGTATGATTAGAGATGATTTTAGCTGAATTCTTTTCTTTATTATACTTTAAGATCACTTATGTATTTAATGATAGTATATAAACCTTCAATAAATAGCATATAATGCAATAAATAACTAAGTTTTTTTTAAATATTATCGTTCATCAAGATTATAGAGCAGCCACCACTTAACTTACAATGGGTACGGAAAGTATTCAGACCCCCTTAAATTTTTCACTCTTTGTTATATTGCAGCCATATGCTAAAATCATTTAAGTTCATTTTTTTCCTCATTAATGTACACACAGCACCCCATATTGACAGAAAAACACAGAATTTTTGACATTTTTGCAGATTTATTAAAAAAGAAAAACTGAAATATCACATGGTCATAAGTATTCAGACCCTTTGCTCAGTATTTAGTAGAAGCACCCTTTTGAGCTAATACAGCCATGAGTCTTTTTGGGAATGATGCAACAAGTTTTTCACACCTGCATTTGGGGATCCTCTGCCATTCCTCCTTGCAGATCCTCGCCAGTTCTGTCAGGTTGGATGGTAAACGTTGGTCGTCATGTTTAACATGTCATTTTGCTTCAGTGGCATTTTGGTCTGTTTCACCCAGATAGATGAGTCGGTGTGAAAATGTGGGAAAGATGGTCAAAAATGTGATTTAATGTGCTTCTCTTAAAAGCAGTTGTAGGTTTGGTGGTTGAATAAAAATGGGAAGGAGAAAGCTGTGTGACCACACAAAGCAGTTTTGAGTTTTGAGATTCAGTAAATTTGCCACTTCCCCTTTTTTTAACTGTCTTCTTTTTTATGTGGTGTCAAATCTGTGAAAAAGAAAACATTTGTTTGTACATGACCCGGTTGTACTTTTCCTCAGATGCCTGGTAATATCTAACATCTTCAGAATGAATCTAAATGGTAAATCATAATAATGTGGTTTATGATGACATATGAGTGCACTTTTCAAAGTACTCTACATCAGGATATTTCATTCTGACTGACAAGATGTACTTAACATGTACTTACCAAACAAACAAAAACACTATCTTTATAATAATGACCCTCATCAGTCAAATTAAATATTCTTCATATTTTATATTAGAAAACCAGACAGGAAAATGTTGTTTTTACTGCGCCAACCAAACCAGTGCTTTCAGATGAAGACTTTTAAAGTGTAGGTGAAAACTAAAAATCGACAGTATGAATCTTTCATCACAGGAACTCACAGGAATTGCACATTAAATAGTTTATTATTGAAAGAAAAGTGGATGAATAAATCAATTATAAAACAAACACAAGTGAGAATACATGGAGGACTGCAGACTTAATCTAAACGATATCCGGGACTCACCGCTCAGCAGGGAGGGATTTCATTCATGAAGTGCTGGAGGAAGAAATGGGAGGATGTCTGACCTTCGCTCCCATACTTATGTCTGTGACAGGATTCTGTGTTTTTCTGTCAATATGGGGTGCTGTGTGTACATTAATGAGGAAAAAAATGAACTTAAATGATTTTAGCATATGGCTGCAATATAACAAAGAGTGAAAAATTTAAAGGGGTCTGAATACTTTCCGTACCCACTGTATGTCCACAGGACATATAACTGTCATGTATAACTGTTACACCTACATTTATAACCATTTATTAAATGTCTATATGCATCTTATGAATGCTAAATATTTTTGCTATTGGTATTTCAAAGTGATGTTTGTGTTTCATTGTGCAGACTGATGTAGTGTGTGTGTACAGAGTCTGACACTTAAAAGGATGTTTTCACATTTACCTACTGAAGGGGTAAAAAAAAACCTATATGATTAGCTTCTAGCACACACACCAAGCAACACTCTATAGACAGACATTTCAATAGGGTAAAATGATCAGGTAGGCTTTATTTTGCAAACCTTATTAAACAGAAATGATTATTTGAAGCAGAGTATTGTTAAACATGTCTGGAAGTTGGGTAGGGTTCATGTAGCGTACTGTATAAGCTTTTTACTTGACCACACCTGTCATATCGGTTTTACTTTTGGTCTCTCTTTTCATGTTGCTTTATAGGCTATGTAAGAATGCATTCATACTAGAAATAGTTCTTTCTTGTTTGGAGCTTTACTGCATTTCTGTACAATAAGCTACAGTGAACTTAGAAGTGTCAAAATATTCACATTTATAAACAGTAAATCATGCATCAATCCAGACAAAACAACTACTTTGCGATCACTAGCAGCAGCAAGAAATGATATGAAACAGGTTTTGAATTCAGATAGGAAACACTGTCATTACAAAAGAATAGAAAAAAAGTAAACATAGATACTTAAGGCATTTGTTTGTTGGGAAATATACCATGCACTTAACCTCCTGCATGCATCTGTATACTGTTTCAACAAGCGACGCTCAACAAACATGACTAATCCTGAGGTCTGAGTATGTCAGGCTTACACTTTGACTGTTATATTTAATTTGCTGATAGCAAATCAATCACAGCTGAAACCACACCAGCATAATGTCCAGCAAAAAGTACAAAGAGGTCTCAATACAAATACAGAAAAATAACTATGCATGTTAAAAGTTGAGAAGATTGTTAAAAAACCTAATATTCTGCTAAATATCTAATCTACTGTAAATAAATGCAATCAGAAGAATGCTTTCACCTGCCTGGTCCCTTGACAAAGTTGTAATTTATAAAATAAAATTTTCTTAAAACTGTCTGAACAAACAGAAGAACAGTACAAAGTACGAAAAAAGGCATTGCAAGGAAATTGGAAAAGGTCTCAGTGAGATAGTAATTCTACACACACACGTGAACAGATCACAAAAAAACTGATCAATAAATTAATTGCACCACAGCCCATTTAAATAGATACATATTATTTATACCTATGTCAACATACCTACAGTAACTACATAGAGAGTATGGCGAGGTATTAAATGTCTTTTTCTTTTCCTTTCCACTTAAATCTTGCACCCCAACCAAGGTACATTACGTTCTTCTGCTTTTTGCATATCTCTGAAATGTGGTTACAATAGTTTATACCTACAGCATGTGGAGACAACACTAATATCAAAACAGAAAAGTAGGCCTTTTAATATTCATGTGTAACACACAGAGCCAACACATGAACAACCTAACGTTTGTCCAGAGATATTCCAACATGTGGACTTTTCTTTTGATAGAAATCTTATAATTGGCCCCGCAACAAGTCTGAAATACATTTAGAAGATGAGGCATGATGAGCCTGCAGCCTCTGTCTCACCATAAAACTGTTTCAGTCTTTTTCTCAGGGTGGAATGGAAGGATTAACACCCCACATCTGATTGTTACAGTATCACTGCAGTATAATGGAGGTACTTGGTTTTCAAATACGGTTTTTAAAAGCTTTCCTGTAAATATAATACAATTAAATAACAAAACAGACAACCTGAGTGTAACTTAACATTGTGTAGCTACTAATTTTGCAAATGGTTAAGAAACATAATGAAGCTGTTGAGGAAGAAACACCAGCCATTTATGTATGATTTTGTTATAGTTGTGTTTCACCTCTCAAATATTTAAATGTTTTCTACTGTACATTCATAGTTAGATGACTTTTGCTACACAAATGCGATTCTTCAAACAACTTTTCAGTGAGTAATTACATCTAATGTCACATATTCAACACAACAATGGGCACATACAAAACTTTATCAGTAAATGCAAATGTATCAAAAGGAAATTACAAATCATTTTGCCCTTTGCTGTTGGTAGAGCAGGTCGTTTCCTAACCGGAGGATTAGCGGTTTGATTCCCAGCTTGTCCAGTCAACATGTCCAAGTGTCCTTGAGCAAGACACTGAATGGGTAGTGTGGAAGCGCTTTGAGTGTGCTGCAATGCATAGGAAAGTGCTATACAAGTATAAGACCATTTACCATCCCAACACCTGCATGCATTTTCTATGGCACAAATACTGTAGAAGCTAATTTAAAGCAAAGTGTAATGTTACATCAGGGTTGTTCAGATGCCTCTGCAGATCCTAATATAGGAGTACCATTCAGAGATGATAATGTCCATTCAGCAAGTAAAGGATGATAACATGGACAGAAGCCTTTGCATATGGGGTATATAATCATTAAGAACGTCCAGGCATGCCTGCTCTTGGCTTGGTCAGCTGGAGGCGTGAAGCAGTGGCTACGGGCACTCAGATAGCACTTCAAGTTTGTCTGTTGACAAGGACATTTCTGTTGACAAGGACATTTCTGACACTGGCTCTGTGATGTAACTAGCACTCAACTGCATTTTGAGCTGCTCCACCTCGTAGTTATGTAGGTACTCTTGAATCAGGTAGCGCTCTCGTTTAATCCGTGCTTTCACATCTGATGGGATGTCTGGGATCATCCACGCCACGAAGAACTTTACCACAAAGACCACATGCTGCAGGGGAGAATTATCACAAGGTAAAGTTACAGTCATTTTCCTACATGAATTCTAGGCATTTATCCTTTGAGTAAGGCGAGGGGGAAAAACAGTGCTGTCTTACTTCCATGATAATAATGAAGGCCAGTTTGGCAGCCAGGATGTGCCAGAACTGCATGGTGTGAGTGTACTCCTTCTCGTGACCAGGAGGGTAACGGTAGTCCCGGTATCTATACAAAACAACAAGCAAAGGGGTATCAGTGCTACAGAGCTCCAAAACAGCTCCAACAATATGCACACCTAAAATTCAAATTCTTGAATTAAAGAAAAAGTTATGCTTTCGATGATTAGCTGCACCTTTCTGGCCAACAATGACAAACATACTGGCATGCATAACATTCATGGAAGACTTTTGGTCGCACAACAAGCAGTAAAGGCAACACTGTTATGATTGAGCCAAAACAATATTGTTGCAGGCTAGAAATCCCAAATAATTAACCTAAAGATGTTAAATTGCTCCATAAACCTGAGGGGAACTGCAGGGTCAGGTGAGTTTTCTCTGGACTTGTCATTATAAGCAAGCTGTCATATTACACACAGTAATTTTACCACTTGCCTATATACAAATATTGATTACTGCAGCTTTAAAGCTTCTAAAATGTAAAACTAAGCTAGACCCAGATACAAAACAAGCACTTTAGGCGCTAATACCTGCAGGTGGTAGTTGAGTTATCAAGCCAGTTTTCATGTTCCATCAGCATATTGGGGTTAGGCATCTCCGAGATGTTGTATATTGACAGGCTGTTGTTGATATAGCCGGTCATGCTGGCCTTATCACTGTAGGCGTACAGGTAGACCATTCGAGGGATCATATCCGAGGTGAACGCCATGATGAAAGCCTGAAACAAAAGAAGGCACCAAAGGCTGGAAATAAAATGTTTTATTTGATTATATAGACTACTGTTAAAAAAGAATAACAATATTATATATAGCAATATAATTCAGAAGCCAAACATTTATCATACATGAAATGCTGGAATAAGTCTGCAGTACTATAGGGTCAGAAAAAAACTCACTCAGTGGTGACTTTATTTTACATTTTGTTGAGAAACAAAACTCACATTGGTAACAACAGACAAAATGGCTACTGCATTGAGGATCTCCTGCCATGCTCCGATGTTTCGAGCCTTGGACGCCACCGGTCGTCTGAACTGGGTGGTGAACTTCCAGGCATCCACCCTGATCTCCAGGATGTTGTTCAACAGAGCCAGGAAGGGAGCCAAGGGGAAAGACGCCACAAACAAGGTGATGAAGCCGAACTGGATCACTGAAATGACAAGCAGAAAGATCAGAGAACATGAGTGATGAACAAGAAATGACAGAAAGTGGAGCACAAGGAACTGAGACATCACAGCCAGATCAGCAAAGCATCCCACCCATCTCCAGGTACTCGTAGAACAAGCCCAGCTGACTGAAGTTCTGCAGGACATGGTCCTGCTCCCAGCGGCTGTAATGGGTCTCAGGATGCTGCCGCCCCTTTCTACTACTCCACAAGTTACGCATCAACCTATGAAAAAGCCCATGAAGAAGAAGCATATGACAAACTGGGAATAAAACCAAAAAGTAAAGTAAGATCAGATGTTTGACTTTGCTCAGAGCCAACAAGAAATTTCCAGACAGTGATGATGTGACATAACAAAAAGGTGACTAGTTTTCTGCTGTGATTATCTGAATCTAATATTCAAAATGAAAGTAAAACAGTACTGTTAACAAGTTTCACATGTTCTGCCCTCAAGGTCTTTCTCTAATGGGAACAAGTTATTTGTAAGTGTGCATTAAAGCACTTCTAATTTAACCTTGGAATTTGGCCAAATGATTTTCCCCCAGACAGTCAACATACTCATTAATACATACAACAAAAGAACTTGTCATGAGTTCATTTAATTTGGCCTTTATATACAAACCAGTGGCCTCTATGAAGATGTCATCACCTATGCACCAACATGGTGGGAAATTATATACATTGGTATAGTGATGTTAAATCTAACTTATGTGCACAGCTTAATATTGTTTGTGCAAGGTACAGAAAAAATTGGCAGGCTTCAATTGCTCTGCACATATTGCAACATAAAACAAATGGCACGCTACTATAGTAATTTTACACCGAGGAAATGATTGAGGGGAGTAATGAACAGACAGAACAGGCGGAAGGCAAAGACTTTATGGACTCACGGCAGCAGGGCTTCCTGAATGTTCCCCCACAGTTGTTTCCCGACCATGACAATCACCAGCTGTGTGGTCAGCTCGATCAGGCAGCCTCCAGGGTCACACTAGGACAGCAAGAGGTTTTCAGTTTTATATCACAAATTTTAATTTGATGCACTTCCTGTTGATAGCCCTCAGATTATGAAGTAGTCCTCACCTGCAGAGAAGAAAAAAAGTTAAAACCTGCACTTTTTTTTTTTTTAATGGGGATGTTTACTTAAAGAAAATAGCTCAGTTCAGAGCACACAGAACCCTTATTATGTTATGAAGCGTTTAATTTTTCGGTCCTACATAGGGTTAGAAAGCCTCACCTCTTCATTCCTCCATCGGCCAAACATTTTTGAGTAGTTGCCAGGATAACCCACAAATTTGCCTTTGAAGAAGGCGACGTAGAAGCATGAGGAGTAATAGTTGACAAACTGGAAAAGGAACATCTTCCTGGTCAATGTGTTCTCATACTCCAGGTGGGTCTTTGGGATTTCTGCAGGGAGCAAACCATTTGCAGATGACACCACACAGTTGATTAGTGCAAAATGTTAATAGGATTTATTGGGTTTTTGGGTCAGTTATAATGCTTTATTTAACGGTCTTGTGTTTTCCAAATGATTTCCTGGAAACTTTTCTCTTAATTTCCCAAAGATTAGTTGATTTTTATCTTTTAATTACTAGCATATGAAATTTGGTGCTAATTATAAAAGATTTTTTTGTTTTGTAGGACGCTCAACTACATAATTTCCTAGGTAAACGTTAACACTTAGAATTGCATAGGCCTTCTTGGAAATGATCTTGTAATTGGAATCTGAACACTAGCTTTGTTTTAGTTTTTTTTTTAGGAAATTATAAGGAAAGTTTCAAAGAAGTTCACTGAAAAATACAGGACCTGCAAAATAAAGTGTTAGCACACATTTAGGACATGTCAAATGAAATGTCCTCCTCACCCATATCAGTGATCCAAACGGCCACCTTCTCATAAAAGAAGTTGAGGATCATGATGATGACAAAGTTGATGCAGGAAGCAGTGACAGAGGTCGCTAGCTGTGGAGTAATAAATCTTCCCACTAACTGGATCTTTTTCTCGGGGTTTTTAATGATACTTGCAAAATTAACGTAAACAGCCAACCTGTATGCTATGACCCCAATAACACAGGCCACAATCAGAGAAATCTGTGGAGAACACAAACACACACGTACAGCATAAAGATGTCGATTAGGCATGGAAATACACACTCTGTGTATAGTGTAAATAGCATGCACTCAAATGAGGTGAACATTCAGTTACCCAGAATATAACTGTGGCTCCAGAGAGGCAGAAGCGAGCACCCTTGCTGGAGATGGGGAGATAAGGCTCCATTTCCTGAGAGATTATTATTGTTTCAGTGTTTTAAAACTAGTTGATGTACTGTTAATTGCAAACTAGAGAGTACATCTTATTTGTTATGTTCATTTTCACATTCAAGGGAAGGCTCTAAAGCACCTGAGTGATCTTGTTGAGTCTCCTTTTAGTGCATCTGATCTCAAACTCTGGTCGGATCTGAAGCTGTTGCTGCTCCTCCTCAAAGTCCACCAAGTCCCACTCGTACTCGAGTCGGGCCTGACGCCGCTTCCAGAGCTCCAAAAACAGAGTCACTGTCAAATAGTTTCGGACAGTGCGCATTATCGTTTGTAAAATCTTGTGAGTCACCTTTGGCAAATAGATTTTGGTGTACAGTGAGAGCTTATGCTGTGCATATTTCTGTGTGTCCATTTTTTAGACAGATCTTTTATGACCTAATTGTTTCTTTTGCATGGAATTTAAACACAGAACGTCTGTGTTGGGTTTCTGAAGCCAAGTGTAATGTGGTTCAGCTGCGGCATAACTCTAATCACTTCTTGGCTAAATGCTGTGCATGACGCCAGTTTTCAGGCACTCTTGGCCTGAGCTGTGCTGGGCAAGCTATCAAACTGCTTTTGCATAATGATATAATTATTCTGGCAAGTTGCTCTGGGTTGAAGCAATGTGGACAAAGGTCGATGCTTCAGTGTGAAAAGGCTTTAACTGTGAAAATCTGTCTGACAGGAAGGGGCTCTCCGACACAGGTTAAACACATTAAGAGCAGCACAGGCAGACACTTACCCCAAATCCCCATAAATATGGCAAAGAATACTGTTCCCTCATTATCAAACAGATGGGATTGCTGGAAGTGAGAACATGGAAAAGAATAAGTTCCTTAGAGAAGAAGAGGAAGTGACATGTTGAGCATAAACAGGTGGACATACTGCTTAACCAGCAGGAAACAATGTATTTACTATACAGTATACTGTGAGATTAAATACGGCTGAACCATAACATTTCAGTCATCATACTGTAAGAGCTTACTGATCGGTGTTAGTTTAAAAATAGCCATTTTACAACTGTTTTGAAATGTTGCCCGATTAAATTATCAAGTGAAATGTTTACCCAGGATGAGAGACAAGTAGAGCTGAGCTTCCAGAAAGTGCATTTTCCATCACAAAGTGGACACATCACAATACTCCCACCAATAGAAGCATTACATATTTCTTTGCTGTAAAGGAAATAAAAATAAATTAAGATAAATATTATGACTATACTCAGCAGTGTGCCCTCAAAGTGGATAGTTAAAATATAACTTTACTATACATACATCCTAGAACAAACAATCTTCTAATCTTGCTATGTCAAAATCAACGTATCAAGCCTTGAGGCATAATAGAAATGAACTGGAGTACTGGTCTCATCATCAAACATCAACACTTGGCTTCACTAATGCTCTTGTGACTGAATGTGAGTTTCCTAATCTTGTGGAAAGCCTTTATAAACAAGTGGAGGCTGTTATAAAAGTCCAAAATCCAAAAAAAAAAACAACAACATATGGGTGTAATGTTTGGGCGTCCACATACTTTTGGCCATATGGTTGTCCGCTCTCTTGTGCCATCTGGTGGTACAAACCTGGATATGTTGTCATCATAACTGAGCAGTCCATAGGTGAAACATATAAAGCCCATGATGGCTGCAAAGAACAGCATCTCTGTGTAGAAGCCCAGCCATGCAAAGTAGATCCCAATCTTTTCCCCATAGTATTTTCTGCAAATAAGAATTGAACAGCAAGTTTAACTCAGCAGAAAACGTTTCACATTTCAACCTCACAATCAGTGATCAATGTAAATGTGTGGAAACAAAACATGAAAGCATTCAACTGTTGTTTGTTCACCTAATGAGGTTCAGAGGCTGCTCTTTGTAAAAGCAGAGAAACCTGGCCCAGTGTTTGTACAAGTTGTAGCGCTCACTCTCACATTCAGCATTCCTTGCTCTTTTCCAGTATCGACACTGAAAGGAAAAAAGAATGCAACATAAACTGTTGAGCAAAATTTAAGGCAAGTACAGATAAAAAGTAGGAGCCGGACACAGTTTTCTCCTTCTGTAATGAAGTTGAACGTTTCACAAAATGGGAATGTATAAGTACAGTGTCAGTATAAATGTTCACGTGTCTTACATCATGAAGTGGGAAGGCTGCTGTGTAGGTCCCATTGCTGAGTAATCGTTTGATTCCCGTCTTGTCTTTGTCTTTCTGATTCTCTTTGTAGTACGGACAACGAGTCAGAATGTAGAACACCTAACAACATGAAAAGGATTTAACAAGAGATTATGGGATTTCATTTAAACTTTTTAGCTAAATTCATTTTACATTTTGCATCACTGTTACACAAGCATTTCTAACACTACAGAATAAACCCTAAAGTCTTCTACAGTCAGTCTGTCCAGAAGAACTGTGAGTTTACTTACAGAAGCATTTTCATTCAGAAATGCCAAAACCTTAGATCCAGGAGATACAGACAATATCGAAGGTGAATTCTGATTTGACAGGAGAAACACTCACAATCCTATTTCTTGTGGATGGTGGGAAGAATGTATCCTTGTCACTGATAAGGAAGAAGTTGATCTTGCTCTTGTCAAAGTGGTATGTGAAATAGTCAGGCTGCGGGTGCATTATGTGCTCTGGCAGGCGAAAAGGATGCGAGACCCACTCGAGCGGCATGTCCTGCCCGTGCGAGATATCACTGGTCTTGAAAGGAACTTTGATCTTTAACACTTCAGCGTAGGTGGCCAGCACGTCCCAGGGGGCATGGATCTTCAAGAAATACGTCTTTTGGTCTTTGGAGTCCTGATAAAAGTATAAATGGAAAAGAATAAAAAAAAAATACTATAAGCTTCACTGTAGCCATTTGTGCAGATGTTTTACACATTTCTTGAAAATACTTGAGGATGGTAGCATGTGTAACATGAGCCATCCCTTTAAGGCCCATTTTCTGTATAATGTGCCTCTGCAGGTTATCCACTAGGTGGTGCATGTGCTCTGTGGCTGAAATTCTTACTGATTTGTCCTCTGTCTCCAGCTCTAGTCCTGCTTTCTCAAGATTGGCCTCAAACTCTCTCCTTTCCTGTGGATAAACACACAAGAATGAGGACCACAAATGTTTATCCACCTACAGTATGTCAGAGAAAATTAACAAAGGCCATGCGTGTGTTTGTTGGTCGACATCTCAATCTTTTACAAACAAATTTGCACAAGGAGAGAGGTCATGGATACTGATCATACAGGCAGCATGAAAAACGTACCGCTATAGAAATGCTGTTACAACTTCCAAATGGCTCTAGATAAAAGTTAATGCCCCTGTCAGTAAACCCAGGGGTGGGCAAACCCTCAGTCACTGGTCCATCTTAGGAAGTTGTTAAAGCCACTTTAGATCTTCCACAGTTTGTTCCATAGAAACAGCTCTCCAGAAATACCAGCTAAATGTTTCAACCTACTCTATAAGCTAAAGTATTTGTTACCTTTGGCTGTACTGCGTAGCTTCCATGTGTGAAAGTGCGAGCATGTACTGACATGAGTACTGCTCTAACTGCAGTCTCCCAGGATAAATAATGGTTGAAAATGTTCGTCTACTGACTGAAGAGGACCAGAACCAAAATCTTGCCTACATCAGTCATCAAAGACCTATAACAATGTCTCTGTGCTTTCAGAACCCAGACTTATGTTGATGTAACTATAACAAGCTTAAAAACAGGTAGAACTTGCACACCGGTCTCACAGTGTGTGCAGGCGCACAGCTGTGCAGCTAGCAGCAAACTTCCAATAAAAGTTGGTATTTGAAATCTTAACTGGAAGCTAATTATTAAACTCTGAAAAGTGTAATGAACAGAGAATTTGGTGATAATGAAAACAAACTAGAAAATAATGACAGTCCATAAGCAAATGTTAGCCAGACCAAAGACGCTGTAAAAAATGAATTAGCACAGTAACAAGGAAAGTGGATTCACAGAATCTGAAAATGCAGTTTTATGCGCAACATGAGGTTTGCTGGAAAATTGTGTGTACACCCACAAAAAATAGCTATGGTGTTGTTGCCTTTAAAGCTGTGTCTGAAATCAACATTTCACATACTCAGTTATATTTGTCTATGAAGCCAAATGAATCAGGTCAGCTGGTCAAACTTCAAGCATGTCTTCAAGACATAAAGGCCTGGATGACCTGCAACTTCTTACTTCTAAACTCTGACAAAACTGAAGTCATTGTGCTTGGGCCTGAAAACCTTAGAAATCTGCTGTCTAATCATATAGTTACTTTAATTGACATAGCTCTTTCCTCCAGTACTACTGTGAGGAACCTTGGAGTCATCTTTGATCAGAATATGTCCTTTAAATCACACATAAACCAAGTCTCTAGATCTGCCTTCTTTCACCTACGCAATATTGCAAAAATCAGGAGCATCCTGTCTCAAAGTGATGATGAAAAACTGGTCAATGCATTTGTCACTTCCAGGCTGGACTACTGTAACTCTTTACTATAAGTATATCCCAATAATTCCCTAAAAAGCCTCCAGTTAATCCAAAATGCTGCAGCCAGAGGACTGACAGGAACGAGCAAGAGAGATCATATCTCTCCCATATTAGCTTCTCTCCACTGGCTCCCTGTAAAAGTCAGAATAGAATTTAAAATCCTTCTCCTAACATACAAAGCCCTTAATGACAAGGCTCCATCATATCTTAAAGACCTCGTAGAGCCTTATCATCCTAACAGAGCACTTCGCTCTCAGAGTGCAGGTTTACTTGTGGTTCCTAGAGTCCACAGAAGCAGAATGGGAGGCAGAGCCTTTAGCTATCAAGCTCCTCTCCTATGGAACCAACTCCCAGTCTCAGTTCGGGAGGCGGACACCCTCTCTACCTTTAAGACTAGACTTGAGACGTTCCTTTTTGATAAAGCTTATAGTTAGGGCTGGATCAGGTGACCATGAGCCTTCCCTTAGTTATGCTGCTATAGGCCTAGGCTGCTGGGGGGCCCCATGATGCTCTGAGTTTCTCTCCCCTCCCCTCCTACTCTCCTCTCCTCTCCTCCTCTTCCCTCTCCTCTCTCTCCCTATGCTTCTATATGCCACCATTACACATCACTAACTGTGTGTCTCCTCCCTCTCGTAGTGTGTCCTCTCTCTCTCCCTGTACCTTTCTGCAGGTTGCCCTGGCCCTGGAGCTCTATATTTCTGATGAGCAGTCACCGGCTACATCAACTTGACCAGTGTTCGATTGTTTGTTGTGTCTTGTTGCTTTTCTTCTTTTGTCTCTCCTCTATCCACTCACCCCAACCGGTCGAGGCAGAAGGCCGCCCACCAAGAGCCGGGGTCTGTCGGAGGTTTCTTCCGTTAAAGGGAGTTTTTCCTCCCCACTGTCACCAAGTGCTGCTCAAGGGGGATTTGTTGGGTTTTCCCTCTGTAATAATATTGATAACAGTAAGGTCTAGACCTTACTTTGTAAAGTGTCCTGAGATGACTTTTGTTGTGATTTGGCGCTATACAAATAAAATTTGATTTGACTTCTCCCTATATAGAATGGACACTCAATAGTTGACAGCAATTTTTTATTTTATTTCAGACACTCACTAGTCATCATCACTTAACACTGTTGAGTAGCATGAGTAGCACAATGGTAGTATACACATCTGTAAAGCATGCGTTGTGCATCAGGCACCACTTTTTGGCTTCACTGTGAATTTCTGCAGACACTATAGTGGACAGTAAATTCCGTGCACCTTATAGTAAATGGGCAGTGATTTCAGACACAGTTTTAACATTATGTCTGACTTCAGTCCTGAAAAAGAGTCTCCTAATCTCCAGTGAAACAAGGTGGACAAGTTTGAAAAAGACGCTATGAAAGCAGTGAGAATAAACCAAAACAGTACAGTTGCATGCCAGACAGCTAAACATGTCATTTGGTACATTGTTTTTAAAAAATATTGTAATATACAGCAAATAATAACTTTAGCTTTAAAAATATGCTGACAACTGCAAAACTTCAATTCTAAACGTCTATCCCATGCCATCTGACTGTGACAGCGAGAGACTACACATACACAAGAAGAGCTGGCTGAATTTTATGAAACTGCGACTCCCTCTTCCTCCACTTCCTGTTGCCTGCCAGCGACTGACCCTAACATGTGACAGAAACGGTTTATATTTATGCATCTTTGCAGTGTAATGTACAGCAATATTTCCCTGTCAACAAACCACTGATCATATTTTTCTGAAGTAATTATTCTCTTTTCATTTCAATAAGTGTTTCGAATCACATATATCCATAGAAAATATGTTGTTTTAATCTCACTTCCTCTACAAAGTACCATGTACGCCAGTTGTGGATATAAATGGTGTAATAAAGGCAGCATCACTGTTAGTCACCCAGCCACGCTATGAAATGCTGAGTAGGCAGCTGGTGGCAACTTGTTACTGCTCTGTCACATGTACCTGTTTCTTGTCTCCATCTTTGTCATCTACATAAGACAACACAAAGTCGATTCTTCGTACTCCGTCCCTGAAGAACACAGTGTCGGTGGTTGGTTGTAGTCTGTCGGCCTGAAGGAGAAACAACAGGCACAAAACAACACTTTAACTTTCTCACAGAGTGGGAAGAGAAAGCAAACAGAAACGCAAAATAAATGCTGACAGAGCAAGAAATGAAGCTGTCAGGGTTTTGCAGAGAGACATAAAGGCTGTAGACAAACCACATTAAACAGGAAAATCATCTCTCAAACTAAAATTGCTGATGGTGCAGGAGAACTCCTTATCTGAGACATTAACCTAGTCTCTGCTATCTACATCTGTAGATTTCAGAAGGCACAGAACGTGTGACTCAGTCAGGAGTGCAGCGAGACAACAAGTGACTAGATGTGTAAATCGCACAAACCTACAGTGACTACACACTATCTTATGGCTCCAAAGAAAACAACACAAGGCTTTGGGGAAAAAGCAATCATTTTTATACTCTGGATTTTGTTTGTGTTAAACAAATGAGATATGACCTGATAATTTGGGAGCGTGTTTACCCTCTGACAGAGCAGTTTCCCTGTTTCCAGAGTTCATGCTAAGTCACACAGGTAGGAGGAGGATGGACTTTATCCTCCCATGTAATCCCTAACAAAAAAACAAACAAGTACATTTTCCGAACACCAACAGGTACATTGGAACTTACATCTGTATGTCCAGGCAGTGCTCCCCTTTCAGATGAACTGACACCATTTCCACTGTTTTCATCTGAAAGAGAAATGCAACAATCATATGTACAGACATGGGGACCGTATGCATACAAAGCTGAAATTTGTGTAGAGGAGTAAATGAGTTTGACACAACTGAGTGAAGTGACTTCACATCTCAAAATGTCATCTTCAGTGTGAAACTGAGGTCAACAAACAATGAGTGCAGGTATTGCTGATATGCCAGTTGTGTTTAAGTGAGTCAGACAAAAGCAACAGATTAAAGATGTTAATTACTGCATATGTCTCGTGTCTGTGTGCACTGTCGTGCCTTATATAGGATTTTTTCCCCCTGTTAATTTTACATTTAAAAGGTATCGACTGCAGATTTGTAGGTGTGTTTATGGGTCATGTTAGCGTAATCTCCATATTAGCTGACTCACTGGGTGGTTAAGATCACTGGTATCTGAACTCAAACATAGGTAAAGTATATACCAGAGACCTGGAAACTGATGGCTGGTCAAAAGAAACTACATGTAAAATCTGGTAAATGTTTTGTTTTTAAGACTAACATTGAATTGTCAAACATCTCTTTCTATCCTTCATGATTACACACACCCACACCACGAGGGAAAACGAAGACTCCGAAAATAATGTCATTGTTGGAATTTCATATGCGCCTGCTTAAATATTTAAACAGGTAATCTATCTGACATCCAGTAATTTTGCTCATCTAGGTTAAGTTGTTTATATCACTGCAGGATATGTGTGAAACAGGAGAATAATAAGGTCTCTCAAAACCAAACTATCCCTTTAGGAGTAACCAGTCGAAAATAATTGTTATGGCTGCACATGCGTCGCGGGGCCAATAAAAATCAGAGTTTCATCAGTAGATACATCAAAGCTGAGAGAGAGATGAGAAACACAAAGGCAGCAGCGCATACACACACATACACACACACACACCTCTCCATCTCCAGTACAATGACATACAACATTTCAGCAGGGTCTCTCTGTCCCTGCGTCGCAGACTGGAGGCAGGGGATGTGCTCATGTGTTCATGTGACATTTGTCTGCTCCCTGCATGCTCCCACTATTACTCCTGAATGGTAGGAAATTTACACTTCCTGTGGGAAGGCTGGAACTGGGGAGAGGCGGGTGAAACACAGCACACAGAGACAAAAAGAACACAAAGATCTCTAGCCTCCTTCAGCTCCAGCCCAGCCACACACAGACAGTCACCTCTGATTAGTCAGTGATCTGACAGGCAGCAGTGAAAGCCAATAAGGTAAGGACTGTACTGTCTCCATGTGGAAGCTCAATGATAGGCCTTGAGACTCACTAAAAAGAAATAAAAATATACCATATCAGTTAGGCTAGAGAAATCCCTGAAGCATATAAAGGGCAAATGACAGAATGATTTTTCCATGAGGCTCGTGGGAAGCACCGCTGGCTGTGCAGCTGAGTTTTTCTTTCTCCTTAGCAGCTTTTTTCTGTCTCACTGTTTTGGTCTTGCTCCAACTGTGCACAGCCAGTTATCAGATCCTGACTTGAGCAATTAGAAGCAAAGGGCCAGCAGTGTGTTATAGCTATTTCCACAGGGAGACAAATAAATCGAGGAAGGGGTCATGAATGCAGAGCAGCACAGACACAGTGTCTGGCACAAATGGGCATAAATGTTCATTTACTTAAATTAAATACTGTACAGTCTATTCAATTCACAATTATTCATTCATGTAAAAGTTACCTTGGCGACTGCGGCTTTTAGGGTCACAAATGAAGTAATCTGATGTCTTCATAAGACATGTTTTACATCCTTGCTATAATGATTCTGATTCATAAAAGCCTGTGAATATGATGGACAACTCACTAGTATACATATCAGTAGAGATCCATTTCCAAGACAAAATCAGGGTTGTAGGCTGCAAGGTCACCTTCTCTTTGAGGCAAATGAAGTACAAATCAGAAAATTCCTGAGTATTTGTTTAGTTGGTTTAAATGAATGGCTTTCAGACACCTTCAGAACAATATTCAAGGAAGTAGAAATGGGTTTGGAAACAGGTAATATCCATTTCTCTATGACAGAACATGCATAATTTTCTCTAAACCAAATGAGATGCACACTTAGTGCTCCACAGTAAGGAGCACTAAGTGGTGAGGGACCCTTTTCAGTGTATCCCAAAATGAGTCATCAAAACAAATGTTATGAAAAGAAACCCACATTACTAAATCAGAACAGATATGCAGTGTCTGCACTGTTTGATTGACAAGAGGACATGAAAGGAGCCACCCACACACACAAGCATAACACATAAGGCATTATTTAAATAGCAGTCATAAACTTAGCACCCGTTTCTGACACTTGAAATACTAAAAGCACATGTACGGGGATGGAATGTAAACATATCATTTACTCAATTACTGTATTTGAATGCCATTTGGAGGTCATTTATTTTATGTATTTAACTTGGATATTTCCATTTTATCCTGATTTTACACTCCAGCCATGAACATGACACTGCACAACTTAATCACAGGAGCCGAGCTGTGCAGATACAACCAGATTGTGAGACAGATGTTGAAAGACCAGATAGACACACACATTAGCAAACTTACCAAAAGGCAGGAAAAAAAAATTCAGCTAAAACTGAAATATGGCCACTGAGGAGAGTTCAACGTGATGAAGGAGCAAGTGGATGAAAAGTGAAACAGCAGAAGGTATGATGAGAAGACGGACAGACAGGTGTCGCATACAGACTCTGATCTGCCCATACCTGAGTGCAGGTTTATCCTGAATGCAGTCAACACTGCAGGACCATCTTTAAAAAGACAGACAGACACGGGTTAGGAGGTAGTATTAAAGGTCTGGAAAAGGTAAACATGCAGGGTTAGGGTGACCTGCTGCAGCCAGTGCAGTGAAGATATCCTCAGAGTTCTCTAGAGCATTTTATTATTTATGTCAACCCAACTAGGGCCTCCATCTGCAGCAGAGCATCTAAACAAGCACTGCTGATATGTTTGATTCAGTAACAAACTAATCTGTTTTTTTACTTTGACTCAAGCAGGCTGTGTGGGTACCTACTGCCTGAAAACAAACAAACACCAGTAACAGCTCCCGTGTTAGCTCTTCCATGAGGCTAGCACTCAGTTACACTACCCTGCTTACCCCTCTCAAACAGATATACCTACTTTTCACTTGATCAAAACCTCTTCAGTGCACTGTTTTGTGTTGCACTTCAATAAACCCAGACTAATTAAGCAATGCTCCGCATTATGACATGAACCTTCTCTTGGAGGAGGTGATACAAATATGTCACAGATTGCTCTACAACTTCCCTCAAGGCAAGAGTTGTAGAAGTATATGAAATATAATATGATAAAGGATAGTGCTCTGGTCGAACTGAATGTCATCCACTATACAGCACTGGACAAGCCAAGACTCTGTCTTGATTAATAGTTTGCATTAGGCAAACAGTGTTCATATGAAATACACATAGTGTATAAAACGGTAGCACTGAAATGTCACTTGTCCTGATAGTCTAGTAAGGATGCTGCCTCCATCCTATAGTGAAACCACAACATCCTATGCTTGAAGCGGGCCCAAGTCCTCAATGACAAGTCATCCTATCTATATCTCCCAGCACATTTCCTGTTCACTATACACAAATGGAAAGTCTCATGAACTACTCCAGTCAAATTAGGATTCTGTTAATAGAGCCACAGGGAGAAAATATGAGGCAAAAATGTACATTGGGAAATCAAGTTTGCTAAGAGCTGCAGTGAGTTTCAGTGTTAATTCTAGATCTTGAAAACAGCAGTTGACAAAACAATCTTACCATGAGGTCTATTTTGTGACCGTTCTGGGGCTTTCAATTGCACTACATGACCCTCATTAGCAAATGGAGTTTAGCCAGTTGTTATGGAGCTGTAAAGGTTCACACTGCCATTTTTTTCTATGAACTTTGAGGTTGGTGTGAAAGAAACTTAATATCAAATTCAACTTTAAACTCAGCAAATTCGCATCTGCTGTTGAAGAACATGTGATATGATTAACAGTTCGAGCTGAGGTGAGATTCATTTGTCAGTAATTGTATTCTACCAAACAAGACCAACTAATGGTACATATAAACCCTATGAATCATGAATAGTAAGGAGAGAAAAACCACTGACAAAGTAAAAAGCGAAAGAAAAATGTCCTTTCTTATCATAAGAATATTTCAGACCCAAAGCGGAGACATCCTGACAATTCCCGGAAAGCTTGAACAGTGCAATGTAGAGGAGATAATGTATTATCATCATAACACACTGAAAATACCATGTTTGATATCACTGATCATCTGTTACTGGATGCATGTTGGAGAAAATGAATTTCCAAGGAATACTTATCAAAACCAAACAAATGGCATGTCATGCAAGAAGGAAAGCTGCTCCTGTGTCCTAATCTGTCATGTCCATAACCACGCCAAATGGCAAGAGGGCAAAAGTAAGAATGTTTCTGTTGCCCTACAATCAGATTAGGCAACATGCGCAATGACAAATAAATATACAGCCCTTGAGTGCTAGGTTTCCTTTATCCGTTTCTTGTCCATGGACCCAAAGGCCAGGCAAATGGACCAAAGGAAAACGGAGGCACAGAAGCCATGTTCTATACATAATCATCTTCTAAACATCCAAAAACTAAAGCCTGAAACTTGCTCTGGCACAAACAAACACACACAAACTCCCAGACATGTCCTCTGTTCACTGTTGCCTTCTGTCTTATTCAGTATCATGCTCTTCATCAAGGGAATAATGCACTTACAAGGCCTGTTTCCATAGCAACTCTTTGGCTCGGTTTCACCTCTGACTGTAAGATGACTTCATCGGCTGGGCTACAGATGCCAGAGTGAAATCACCTTGAGCAAATCACTTAAAATATGAGTAATTACTATTTAAAGTACTTAAAGTGAACAGAGAGGGATGCCAAAACAACAACAACAACAACAACCCTACTACTGAAAAGCTTTGAGCCCATTTAAAAAAGGAACAAAGATGTTACCAAGTACCTGATGTGTTTAAGCGTTTTAAGTTTAGGTAACCATCGAGAAAACTGCATATAATGTCATAGTACATCTGGTGTTCATCCAGTAATAGGACGCCAGTCATAGCTGGACAGCTGTGGACAAAGTAACACACTCCAATCATCTACAGCGTGGTGAGGACAGACCCTGCTCTGCTGCCTTTTCCTCTTTCACATGCCCTGATAAGAGCCTGAACAAAGCCTTTGCTGAATGAAGAACAGTTTATTAACCTGCAGCTCATCCTAGGTTATTAATATCACACTGACTGACACAGTGGAACTAGAATTAAAGGTGGAGAAGGTCTAATTGACATGTTATTGTACTTATTCAACACACTCTGATTGAACATTAACGCTGGTTAATAAGTAACATGCTTAAGTGCACAGTTTAACAGTTAAGCTGGCACATTGTTTTTATGTTAAAATGTCAGAAAAGACTTTTTGAAAACAAACCTAACTAAAAGTAAAGGTGTAATTGTACTTATAAATGAATCCATGCTTTTCTTTAGTGTGGGATAATATAAAGTGATAGGCCTATTAAAGATGAAAATGATGAGTCGGTTAAGTGCACCACAACGCTATCCGTGATTTTAGATGCACGAGGACCATAGAAAAACTCAACTGTGCCAGGCTCAGTTTCAATTCGGACTTGAAATACAATATGCTTCTCAGGTTCAGGTCGGGTTCAGCCACCACACTCTCAAACTGAGGTTCTGACAGAAATACGCAGCCCAATCCATACTCTAGTCCAGGGGTGGAAAAACCAGGTCCTCAAGAGACTTGCCCACCCCCTGCTCTAGTCTGAAACAGTGATACTAGATGAACATAAAAACAAGAACAGAGAAACCAAAGTCTAAACAGCAGCGTTTCAAGCTACAAAAGTAGTGAATGCTGCAAATAATTATAGTACATAAATAAAATGGCACAGTGTCTGCTTTAATTCCTGCACATCCACAAACAGCTTATTGTAGATACACACATTTCGTCCATAAGCAAACCTCTGTACAGCACCATGTAGTACAAAAACAAAAGAACACGATGCTAAGTTCTTTGTCACCCCAAAGTAAGGGACCTCCAGTTTTTTGTCAACAATTCTGTTACGAAAGTCAAGACTATGTTGACTATTTTTAATGACATCGTCGACGACTAAACACATAAGATGGTACTAAGGGTTGCAGCACTGGTTTTTTTGTCAACAATTCTGTTATGAAAGTCAAGTCTATGTTGATTAGTCGTCGATGATGTCATTAAAAATAAACACACAAGATGGTACTAAGGGTTGCAGCACTGGAGTCAGCTGTTCCACCCCAGTTCCCATGGTGTTGCTCTTGTGACTTTTGGACACTTGGTTGCTGGCTCTTTCGTCAGAGAGGGCAGACTGCACAGCTGACAGGTACTCGAGCATGACAGCGGCAGAATTCCACCTGACTAGTCAGTAGTCAGTTTGGAGATTATTGGCCTTATCACCCTGCTGTTCCTACCATCTCTTCAGAACACAGGTTGCTAAAGTGACTACTCGCTGTGCCACATTGATCCTATGTCAGACAGGGCTGGTGTTTAGAGACTAGTCAATGTCTAAAAACATCACACCTGCATTGTGAGGTCAGCTAGTTGACTAATCTGTACGACCCCTGCCTCTCCACCTGGCAACCCTTGTTAAGGTTTTCTGGCTCCAGCACATTGTCTCTCTGAGTCAGTACTCTGTTCCCCTACAACAGACTACTCTGCCTGGTGTAAGACAATTAATGCATTGTTAATTGCAGCTCTTAAGTGAGCGTCACATTATAGCAGAGCAATCAGCAACCAGGTAAATGAGCTTTTTCCATTTGTTCGCCTTCATTTAACTGCAGACTTCAGAGGCAGACCACAACCACTCACAGTATATCACTGCTCTGGCTTTAAAACAAAACAGTTTACCAACACAGAGTTTACCGTTTTGTAGAGCATAGGACTAGTATAAGAGGAAATTCTGCACAGATTCTACATTTTCTGTTGTTATGTTATGAGCTATAATGCAAGACTGAAAACCCTCAGCCCTCCAGTATTATGGGTTTGTCCTCAGACATTACTGCACAAACCAATTTAACTCCATTGCACTAACATCTGAAAGCACATCTACAACCAGACTAACTGTGCAGATGGTTTGTAGCAGACACACTGTCTGAAACCACAGCCTGAAAGTGGTTTGCTGTTTAGCAGAGCCAGTAAAGCCTGATTATCTAAGATGAGGCAATCCCATTAGATATGGACACAGATACTCAAGCTTCACAAACTAAACGAATGAGGAAAACATGGATTGGTTTGATCATATGCTTCACTTCTGATCATTTTGTCCTTTTGTCAACTTAACCTACCGTAAAAAAACATAGAGAAGGTGTTTCTTGGGGTGGGGTATTCTGCTACAGTACAGTATCTACTGGGATTTTACAGTCACAATATCTGAAGAATTCAAATCACTCAGATTGTTGGTGTGGGAAACACCAGTGTGACCTCACTGATAACAGGTTAAGGGAATATTCCTGCAAAGAAAAAAAAAACAAAAAAGCAGGATGACTGCCAATTAGCTGCACAATGACACGCCAGATAAATAAACACTGTAGTGTGCAGGAGTCGTTTTTAAGTGGTGGGTGTTTCCTACTGCAGGTGCATCCACTAAACTTCTGACCTCTGATCAACTCTCCTGGGGCGTTGAGGTGCAAAGAGCCAAACTGGCCCAAAGTAAATAAAAGTTTAAAAGGCAAGTAAAACACCTTAAACAGCTATTTAATTAGGCTGTGGACAAAACACAAACGTGCCAAGTAACCAAAGCATGTGTAATATATGGTGCAGGCAATAGAACAATGACATTTTATAGGCTATGAAGAATTATATTGACTTGATGTGTTCATATAATGTGTTATGGTTTGCTGCTGAGGTGCTGTGTTCGAGTCCCGACCAGCCTTTCTGTGTGGAGCTTGCATGTTCTCCCCCTGTGCCTGCTGCCTTCTCAATCCAGAAACCTCCTGACTACTCCCAGACACCTTTCTTTAATTACCTCCAGTATGTGAATCCGTCGAGCTCTTCAGTTCGATCAAAGTTTCATCCTTCGCCTTTCGTGCTATTCGTTTCATTGCGGCAGACGGTGTTATCCAGAGGCTTCACCCCCTCAGGAAAGTGGGGAAGGCAGTCAGGATGCCGCTTTGATCCAGTCGGGTCGATGACGACTCCACCATGCAAATACTGGCTGATCTCACATTCAAATCAGCAGCGAGTCCTGTCCAGATCAGTGGACGGTAGCTGGACCATATGTACAGTAGATTACAGGAGAATGCATCCTCTGTGTGGCTGTGCCCTCGTCAGCTCCACCTTGTGCCAACAGAGCGGATACACATAAAGGGGAGTGGCAGCGTTGATTTATTTTTGTCGGCTAAATAGTGAGAGAGCTGTGGTCAAAGGTAATTAAAGAGCTCAGCCTGTTGTTTGTAGGCTCATTTATTTGAGCATTTTCCTTCAATGGAAGTTATTTTCTGGTACTATATTTTTAGAGGCAACTAGCCTATTGAAATGTTTTACTCCACTACATAATTTGATAAGTTTAGTTATTTTTCAGACTAAGATTAACAAAAAGAAATACAGTATAATCATTGGACTAAAACTATAGTTAGGCTGGGAAAGCTGGACCTTGTGGGCTGCACCAGAGGCCTTGACATAAAGGTCTAATGGGGCACAGGACCCTCATACTGTGACTCAAATCCACATTTTTCCTTGAATGTTTATTGCTTAGCCCACGATTCCATTGCATGCTGCTACTACAACAACAACTACCTAAAGTTAAAAATGTAGAGATATGTATGAAAATATTTCTTTCACCATACACTCCAAACAATTATCAACATGTTTTTATGGTGTAAAGGTCTGGCTTGTATTGCACCTTCTTCTTTGTGTTCTTCTGCATTTCACAATAATAACCAATTTGTCCATAAAGCCACAAAACATATAAATTCTCCAATTACTTTGAAAGTGTATTGTGCAGTGCATGTCTCCATAGAGGTCCCTGCACAGACATCTGTCTCCACACTTTCCCTTCCTGCTTCAGGTTCACTTGTTTGTTAAACGTCTATAAAACAAACATTATTTGGACTGTGTGACAAGAGCATCAGATATGTGATAGGCTATTATTTAAATGCAGAATCAATAGTCCAATGTTAACATAGACCACTACATGTGATGTACACTGACTGGCCACTTTATTAGGTACAACTGTACAATTGTATGCGACTCAATGCAACACTTCCACCTTAACATCTGTGTTTATGAAGCTCAGTGTTTCAGTTTTAGGTGAAATCATCATAAATGTACACATTCAGTTATGTTTATTATTGAGGCCATAGTTAAAGGTGATATTGTAGTGGACTACAAGTAAGGTGGAAGCTGGGTGGAGCTCTGCTAGTAATTAATCGTAGAGCCGAAGCAACTAGTTGATAGCTATGCATTCACCAAATAAATAAAATACATAAATAAATAAAAGCTTTGCTTCCACGTTGTGCGGCCCACTTTCTTTTGCCCATCTTAAAGAGTCAGTAATGTTTGAGACAAAAAAGATCATAGGTAATATTCAAAAACTTAATTAAACATACCTCAGCCCACTGACACTGTACCTCACGTATGGGACTGCTGCCACAGTGAGATCATGTTTCGTCCACTGGGGGGAGCTCGTGTAAAGCCAGACACCCACTGCTTTGTTGTAACTGAGTGCTGGAGGTCCCCCTTATTTAAATCCATATAACATCAGGTTCACTTGTGCTGAACCATGAGCTTTGAATAATACAGCCTGCTTCACAGAATGTCATAATGTAGTCTTTATGAAATGTAGCCTGTTTTTTCTTAATTAACCCGCAGCGTTGGGGGGCAAAATGGCTTGGCTGCTAGTTTTTCATAATTTGTGTTATCAAATATTCTGTCTGTGCCACCAATGATTTAAAAAAAAAAATCTAGAAATTGCATATGCTGTGGTCATACCCTGTTCTGGATTATTGGTTTAAAAAGTACATTAGCAGTTTGAATTGTAATGCCACTTTTATTTATTAGGCTTTTCTGATTATTATCAGTGGTAGTATGGTAATTCCTAGCCTATATCTGTATATGTAGCACAAGCAGTAGCTGTTATACTGTCATGCATCGGGAGTGAAGCAGTCGGATCTTTTGTTCCGAAAGCAGATCCAGCCGGTGTGTGTGTCTTTCTGTGACTGTGTGTACAATTTCTC